ATTCCTTTCCTGACCGTTTGTACCCATTGTTTGTAAACGTTTAATTTGTATTCTTGTTACAATATGTGCTGATATGTGAACCCGAGGTGGGCGTTCTGATTATTCGCAAAGCTTCTGTTACGTTTATGCATAATTCAATGAAACGTGCAAAAATAATTAGACATAGGGCTAGGAACTCTGATAAAAATAAGGCGAGGTCAACAAAAAATTAAAAAAAAACATGCAGTGATTTCGAATATAATTAATCATTGACGAGAAAAACATTTTAACTACGATCCAAAAATCGATCGTTACTTATCAAATTATAGGGCAAAGAGAATTTTCTCTATTTCCAGTTTTAAGATCATGAATACATTTTATATATCTAAAAATGGTTTCAAAAATGTAGCGGATTCTTATATATTCTTTCAACAGACATTCTTTCTGGTTTCAGAAAGAATTAAAAAATTAGAGAATATTTCTCTTTTATTTATCAAAGAAACGATCAATTGAAAACAGTCTGATTGAATAATGCAAAAGTCTGTATGATTGGATCAGATTATTAATATCAGTATATATTTTTTTAACTAGTCCAAAATATAAATTTCAATGGTTGATTGAATTTAAAGGACCAAATTTGTTATAAACACTAAAATTTGTAACTTTATGTATGTATTTTATGTTCATTACAAGTTATAATCGTATTTATAATAATTTCAATGTTGTTTTTGATATCGTACTGATTGACTTGATTTTTTATATGATTTTGGATTGATGACTTTTTGTTTTATAACAATATAAATCGCACCCTTTGATATGGCGCGAACATAAAATGAGTACAAATAGAAAATATTCTAAAAAAATGTGTAGGGTCGAGCGAGGCTAAAAGTCCACGAGTAAAAAGGTCCGCCACCAATATTTCAAAAACGAGTAAAGTTATGATCCTGAATGTAGAGAGCAAAATATGTCGTTTTTTTATGAGCACGGTTGTTAAGATTACGATACCTGGATATAATTCTTAAGTATGTATACTTCATGCAATTGTTTCATAAGATGCATTGTTATTTTTAAGTTAGATTCAGAAGTTTTATTCCTAGAACTTCTAGAATAGCTTGAATGTGGTTAGGGTAAAAAACAATGAAAACCTTCATATTGATGAAGTGTAACAAATAGGAAACTAGTAAATAAAAGTGTAAAATAACTCAAGAAAAGCAATTTTACAAGAAATAAATTTAATTATAAGTTATTTCAATTCTGATAATAAATCCTTATCATAAAGTAACATCCAGTGCGATCTATATGAAAAAAGTGCTCATAAAATATGTATTTCAAACAGAAGATGATTGAATGAATCTGATTATGATGAAATAAACACAAATACCTACGTAAGCAAGATTTATTATAGTAGTAAAAGTTGTTCAACCTAATAATTAAACTGCATCACATTGATTAGAAATGTAACTATTATTTCAGAAAACCACTTTTAAATTAAAAATAAAATGCTGGCGAAGTAGCCGGTAATTGGACTGAACTTAGATAGATAGTTGTTTGATATATGTTGTTTGTTTTAATGTAATTAGTTTGGTTTTCACAGTATAATTGCCACAAGTCAAATTTGACCCTTGTGCTCTAACCTACCCCATATGTTTTCTCAGTTTATTATAATGCAATCTAATATGTGACCAATCTTTATTTGAAATTAATTTTATAAAAGTTATAAAGCATGTCGATTTAAATATAAGGAATACCTATAACATATCATAGTTAAACCTATAATTCTATGAAAAAATATATTACATGTATATAACATAAATATATGTATATCGATATGCATGTAGTATATGCCTATATTATTTAATGTGACATCACAAAAACTCTTTTGAATGCGAAATATATTAAATATACCCCAATATTAAATTTGAAGAGAATAAATTTAATACTTACTGTAATAATTGTTTTGAAAAATTATTTTATTAAGATGCATTTGTTTAAATATTTAGTGATTTAATTAGCTTGTAATTACTCGTGTCACATTACATTACTTCTTATAAAGGAAAATTGCAACTGTGTATTTTTCACTATTTATATATCGATGTCATTTTCTATATATATTTGCCAAAAGATTTACTTAATGTCTATGTAGGACAGTTGTAAATATATTGTTGAATAAAAAAAAAATTGCAAAAATTAGATAGCAAAGTTTAAAATATTTGAAATATGCAAGAAAAATCTGCATTTTGTTCTCAATTTCTTTCAATGTGAATAGATTTTCATTTCTAATTGTTATGATCAAACATCTATCTAAGAACAAATACGAAAAGACATAAATATATAATCAGCAAATTATAATTTTTGGCGATTAAGTGTTAATACTAATGATTTTTTTGAAAATGTGATACTGCACTATATCCACATTTGCTGGACTGGTGTATTTGCTCATGCGTAGGTTACTATTTTAATGATGTTTTGTTTCTTCCAGTGCTGGTTAAAAGAATGAGTCAGCTTTTGTTGAAAAGTTGTGCCAACTGAGATGTTGGAGATTGTGATATTCAGGAAATAAAAATATTCATAAATAATTTTCTAAAAGTCTAAAAAAACTAGTGGTGTATGGCATCGTGCCTTAAGGCAAATTGCTGGGACTTCCCGTACCGTGTCAAAATGTTCGAGAAATTTTAAATGTTTTCAAATAAATTATTTTAATATATATACTGTAACACTGTCTAATATTTATAAGCAATATATAATCTGATTTAAGAAGTTATAATTATTTATTTAGAGTATATAAGTGATTTCAGAACTTTAGACAGAATTCAAATTAAATTATGATTATTCATTGACTATTTTTTAAAGGGATATTGTTGAAAATGGTTATATTAACAATTGAAGTTTATTTAACCAATTACATAAGAAATGATTATCACTCACAATCATTAGTTTTACATACTTATTATAATCACTACTTTTTTATCACATGTTTAAACTGATTTATACTTTTTCAAGAATGCCAATTAGTTTCAAATTGCTATAGGTTTTAGATAAGATAACTTGCCTATAAATATCTTGATGTCAATTAACAAGATATTTTAAAATTACATGAACAGTATTTCAGTTTGCTCGATTTTACGATAATTCAATCAATTCTTTGTGATTAAACTGAATTTATTTTAGATTTTATAAATCTTTGACAATTCTTATATAGTAATTATAAAAACGTACATATTGAATATGTTCCATTGAAAATGAGATTATAAGATTCAGATAACAACTAGCAATATTTAAATTACGTTTGATTTGTTTGTACAAATTTGTTTGGCTCGTTTTTTAAATTATATTATCTATAATATTTACGACTAGATCAGATAATAATGTAAAATGCCAGCGCGTTCGATTAGATTGATATGAGAAAAGTAATTTATAATATATGAAAACATTTTCAATGTATCAAATATCTATTTGCAAAAAAAACCTTAGGTAGATTTGTTCTCACTCTTTGTGGAATTTTAAACTTATTGCTAATAACCTGATGAAACAATATACGAAAAAAGAAATAACAAGTGAAATTAAATTGCATATATATTATGTAGACTTGAAATTCTCAATTAAATTGAATTTTGAAATTCAACGCAGAAAATTTCATTATACTCGCATAATAACATGCCAGACATGTATAAAAAGTGTTTATAGCTTCTATAAAAGATTATAATCCAACTGGTATTAATGGCAAATATATTTCATTATTTAAGAAGCCGTATATCTCATTATATAAAGAGCTGTTTTTTCTACGCCCGCGGCAACTTCAAGCAGATAATCGTAACAATACTTCCTCTCCGACGTACAATAATAGACTCAATAATACACTGACTGAACTTTAAGTTTGAAAAAAAGCGAATTCCGTGCCGGCGAACAACTGAACATCAAGTGCACTATTATTATTTAACAAAATATCATTGCCTCGGAACGATCTTTTAATGTTTCTTTCAACCTGATGGCACCAGCAATATCGCTGAAATGGGATCTATTCCGCGCTGGATATCCAGCCTGCGGTGGAGAATAAGGAATTCCAGGTTTCTTTAACATTGCAGAGAATTCTTCAAAATAAGAAAAAAACTGTGATAAAATACAAAAACTTGCTGAATTTTTAATTCCCGGTCTATGTCAATTTGGTTTAATAAAGAGCAACTTTATCAATGTTTCCCAAGCCGATGACTATTTGACGAGAAAATTAGAAACAAAGTAATATTATATAAATTGAGATTTCAAAACTTTGTATATATCAGTTTTGAGAGGTACTTAGTATCCTAGCCTGGCTTCGTAATCAGAAATCTCACGATCCAACCCTCATTTTGGACAACTAAGTATCCAGCAAAAATAACCTTTCTGCATTGCTGCATTACGTTAAAAATATATAATCAATATTAGAAAATTTTAATAAAAATAAATATATGAAATATAGATATAACAACAAACGGGTTGCGGTCAAATTGAAAATTATTTATTATATACTCATATTAATATAAAAATAAATATTAACCAAAAATATATTATTCTACCAGGTCTAATGATGACAATAAATTGACTTGGTCTGACAATAAATTGAATTGGTCTTCGGCCCACGATATTTTAAATTCTTATAGATCCATATTTTGCAAAATTTTATATATTTTTTAAATCCTTTCCATGTTAATGCAAATTCAATACTAAATATTATGTAGTTTCATATATATTTGCATTAATTTTAAAAGAAAGCATCATGATCAAATCGTAAACTAGTACAGTAATAATTGCACAATGTCAATCAAACATATTAAAATAAGTATATTAAAAGTAAAATGAATAAATGTAGTAATAGATAATAGAAAGTATTCCATAAAGGTATTTTAGTGATTACTACTATACTACAGTACTACTACTACCATACTCAAATCACTGAGATTTATAGAATTCTGAAGAAAACATTAAAATGGAGTATGCAATTCAAATTTTCATCCTAAAATAATATAAATTAAACACTAGTTTACATAATGCCACGATTAATGAATAAAGGAGAAGTCAAATCTGTACGAAAAAAGGAAAAAGTATTACTGAATCTTTTAGACTTACAGTTGGGTTCACTCGCAGGTAAGTGGCTAAAGCGACTGAACTTGAATGAGAGGTCTCGGATTCGATCACTTGGAAATATAAATAGCAATATGGTTCCAAGTGAAAATAGCTATTTCTGCATAATAAAATATTAGCCTTATTACAGAAATTGTAATGATAAAATTTATCATATAGGAATGATTTGAGTCACTTAGCCCAACAGCTTACGTTCTGATTGCTATTCATTAAAAATCAGTTAAAGCAAAAAAAAAGTTTTAATCTGATACAGTAGACAGGTTAAGAGTTTTGAATAATAAAATATAGTAAATAATTTTAACGGTTTTGATGTTATTCGACTCTTCTGATCTCATTTTAGCACATTAATTCATGTAGCATAATTATATACATAAAATATTAACATTTTACCGAATACTGTAAAAGTAGCAAAAGTTAGTAGTCATCTATAGTTTTACAAAATTATTTAATTAATTATGTGTTCTGGTTTTGCGGATTGTTACTAAAAGACTATATATAAAGAAAAATATTCCCAAATCATAATAAAATTTATGTATAGAATATCTCATAATTCATTTATAGTTCGCCTCTGCCCTATGCCATTATGTTCACCACGAGCGGGCGGATCGTGCACCTCAATAAATAAATGTGTATGATTTTCAAAGTGTACTTTCGATGTTTACGTCAATTTTTGCATCGTTAACTCTAATGCATTATTTGCTCACAGAACACGAACAGAAACAGATTAGTACTTATCCAAATAAATTGGTCTGCATTGCTGTTGTCGGCAGAAGGAAATTAGTATATATCCATTGAATAGAACGAAACTTATAAGGATTAAAACAAAGAGGCTAGAAGTTGATATTGCATTATTTCGAATAAATTTCTCATTATTGCTATAGCTTGATCTGGTTAAGAATGTGGACTAACACCAACCAGTTTCGGGTTTGATTCCTACCTCGGCCATATCAAGTTGGCCATATCAAGCAGTATGGTACTAGATTTTATAGATCACAAGTAAAAATGGCGTTCGTGGGCATTTATTCCACAAATGGTAAAACGGGTGTGGTTAACCGTTGAGTAGCCCGAGGTTAAGCTGACAGAAAAAAGTACTTCTGATCTTGGTTAAAATAAAATAAAAAACAACGTAAAAAACGATTTCGATAGTCTAACTTAAGAGAGATTTCAGTGAGTGGTTTATAATTTCTGCTCGAAAAAAAACTTGAAGTGATTACAAAAGTTAATAAATTAATCGATACATTTTAACAGAGTAATGTTATCAATATAATTATTTGTGACCAGAACCATGACAATTTTTATCAGTATGTAGAAAATCATCGCAACATCGGTGTGCTTTATTGCCACATAAATTTTCATAATCATTTTCATAATAAGTTTTTAAATTTTGTACTTCAAAATTGTGAGTATTTTTATAAAGCGGGTGAAAAGGTCCATCACCGATATCTCGAAAACCAGTAAAGTTAGAATTTTTTTTTTTGCAACAATATTTGAAAGTAGAGAGAAACAGACGTATAACCAGCTACCCTTTAGTTATTACCACAATGCTGCCGGGAGATGTCAATGCTTGAAAATTCATTCAGAAAAATTATTTTTTTCCTAGTTAGTTTCTATGAATAGTTACGGCGAAATACCAGATCAAGGTTATTTACAGTGTTATCTCACAACGTTTGCTGTCAGTAAAAAATTCACCCATGAAATTTATATTTTGCATTGGTTGAATATTGTAGCTATTATACCTGATTATACAGTAGTACTTGGCAGCCTCATTTTACCCAGACTTTGGGGTGAAAAAGACAAGGTTACACATTTTTGCAAAACAGCAAAAAACACATTACTACTATGATGAATTAGTTGGGAATTTTGCTGAACATAGTAAGATAGTTGTTTGTTTGATATGTGTTATTTGTTATGATACAATTGGTTTGGTTTTCATCATATAATTGCTCAAAATCTAATCCAATTTGATTGTGCCTTTGTGCCCCGACCTAGCCTATTTCTATTTTTTGACGCATTATTAACGATAAACTTTTTGGGGATATGTTAAGCAATTGGAAAAATCTTGGATATGGACATTATTGATATGTAGAAAAAACTTAAAAATTTGGCTTTCATAATTAAAATTGACAAAATCATAATTTCAAAAGCGTGGCTCAAAATTTTTTGTATGTTATTGCTAGCAGCCAAATTTGCAATAGACAATTTTTTTTCAATATTTTATTATTTTAAATTATATGCCAAAAAATAAAATACTTATGCTTAATTTGCTTAAGCAAATAACATTAAGAATTCATTAAAACTTTCGCTTGAAAGTTACTTAACATGTAAATAGTAAAGGAACATAAATCTTGAACAGAATTAGACTTTATGAATGATCACTTTAAGTCTCCTCAGCTTCTGTTGGCATTTGCATTGCCATTCAGATATATTCTCACAATCTAAATCATGATTAGTACTAATTTCCTTTCTTCATAGGCTAAGTCTAATAGGAGCCTAAGAATAATGCAACAATGCAATTGTTGTCAGCAAACCATTGTATATTAGTATTAGATAATCAATAATGAAACCTAATAACTTTGTGGCGGACATTAACTACTTTTATGCGTACATGGAATTCAGTACAAAGTGTCGACAGATATATATGTTGCGTAGCAGATAAAGCTATGCAAAATATTTAGAGCAATTTGGATACCGAAAGAGCAGATTGCCGTAAAAGCAATTTTTCTATTAACAATATGTACGATAGTATAATGAAATAGATTTGCAACGATTTTATAGATATTGCACCACGTTAAAAAGTTTACAGAAATACACTACTTTCAATATTACTCACGTTATGAATATTTAGATTCGCAGCACATTTAGGCCATACTGTTTTTCACCATTACCTGCAAATAAGAAAATATTTGAATTGAGAACGTAATGAACTAATGAAATATTCAATGATCTTATAAATCAAAAGAAAACAATCAACCGAAGCTAATTTATTCAAAACCTTAAATATTGAAAATGTTGCCCTTAGGTTAATTTTGAAGTAAAGTGTTGAGGAAAGAAACAATTATTTTTTTGATGTGAAAAACACTACATACTACAAAACTATTATGAATAGAGATAAATTTAATTATGTAGATAAAAATTATGGAAAAAAGAATTATTATATTTGAGTGATAAAACAAATATGAAAAATACTATAATTTTTAACTGACGATGATATTGGTATTTTAATATTTGTTTTGCATATATAATTCATTCATTATGTATTTTTTGAGAACAATAAACCCAACAGTTTCAAATTAAAATTTGTACTTAAAAAATCACGTTTATGCGGATTTTGAATGTTTTATAATAAAATCATTGTAATATTTCCTTTATTAAATTACAATATGCATTCAAAAAAAAACAGTAATTACGAGGATATATGTAAATTATCGAATTGAAGTTCTGACCCAAGTTTACCCATGACTGAAGAAGTTTGTATATAATATATATTAACACAAAATTAATTATTGTTAGCCATCATTTAAAAATATTTAGTATAAACAAATATAGTAATAAAACTATCAAAAAGATGAATATACATAAATTATATGCACAATTTTGATGTGTTTCATTAAAATTTGTTTCAATTATATATTTTTTTTATTTAATTTTAATTTTTTTGGAAATACTTTATCCATTTAGATCAAATATAAAGTAATCATAATAATTAATCTAAAATTGAGTGAGTTAAATTAAAATTTAAAGAATTAAACTAAAAATAATGACTTGATTACTATTTATTCAGTAGTAAGCCTTATCGATATTGATATATTGATATATTAAATTCTAATTTCACATAAAGCAAAATAAAAATAATGAAGTACAAAGTAAGTTATATACTAAATAAATGCAAAAAACTTAGTTTGTAATATAACTGAAATGAATGTGTGTAAAATGTACTAGCAAAAATCATCACTTCATGTCACTTTTAGGTTTAATTTTTTTACTCGAAATGTTTCAATATTAAATTTATCAATATTTTATTTTTATTGTATTTTACCATATTACAATTCTGATAAATTACGCCGACTTTTGATGAAACTTTCCAACACACTTTAGTACATTTTTTTTAAAGAAGAGCCTGTTAAAGTCGACCGATTTAAAAATTTCAAGTTAATAGTTGAAAAAGAGTCGTAATTCTCAATACTTGGGGCAATTGTATTATTGTGTTTGATTGTAGTCCTTGAAAAGTTATTCACGGTTATGGTTACAAAGTTTAAATGAAAAACAAATGATAAAAGTTAACCGTAATAAACGAAAAATAAACGAAAAATGGTCATATTTTTACCAAAGCTCGAGGTTGCACTTAAAAGCTCATAATTTTCAAAAACATTTGATTGTCGTCAAGATCTGGGACATTGCTGTATACTTTATTTAGAGTAATTATATTATCATAGAAAATATAATAATATATCATTTAATCTCGTTGTTAATGAAATGTGATTAGAAATTACAAATAAAATTCTAAAACACAATATTATAGAAGTATGATGCACATTATAAGGTTGTAACTTACAACCTGTAAGCAGATGTTTGTTCATATCTCGCAGGTGAATTTTTTAAATTAAAATACTAGTATATGATTGTTTTTTATTAAATTTACATACCAGAACTGAAAATAGTTGATCCAACTAAATTACACAACACAAAAGTAAGTGTGTAATAAAGTTAATATGCGTTATATTATAAAACTATGATATATCAATTTTTTTATTTTCATAACGTGACCTGAAATAATTCAATTTTTCACAATTGTAATAAAATTAAACGCAATTTAAATACGCAATGTCTTACATAAGTTATGATTACGCACGATTATTAACATTCTGAACCATAGCCCTGGGTCATATAGAATATAAATCCGTTATTCTGATTCTAAGCATCCTGTTCTAATTGTTTGCAAACACGCACGACACTTTATAGTCGTGATAATATTATAAGCTAACTGAATCGAAAACTATAAATCAGAGAATTACGAGAGCCAAAAGAGTTGTAAATCACAACTCGAGGCGTATACGATATATACTTACACGTATCTTTCATATAAGGACAATTCGATACGCGAGCTTTCTCTCAAAAACCATATGGCCGACATGTTAGCTTCATCTCTGATATTTATTGAGATACCAAACGCCGATGATGTAATTATAGAACTAAGATCGATTTAAGGAACATTGTTGTGAAAGTAAAAAATATTAACGATAAAGTATATTACGTTATCAGCTAGTTTCTTAGAGTAATAAAAACAGAACTACATAATTGGTAAATACAATGCACATCACATTTCTGAAAATTTGAAACAAAAAAAACGATTTTGAAGCTACGTGGGAAACGAGAAATTCCATATTCATAATAAATTATTTCTATATAAAAAATAATTCATGAAGTAATAAAATCAATTCAAATGTATTTTGTTAACATCTGGTTCAAATTTGACAGAGTGAGTGCTGAGTGATGATTATATTTCTGTAAAGTACCAAATACAAATGCGAACCAACATTTGATTGGAGCTTAAATTATGAAATTTGAGTATGATGACCCAGATTGAAAACCATCCTCGAGCAGCCTGATGTCAAGCAGTAGTAGCATAGATTTTCACTGGGAATAGATAGCAATATGTTTCCAAGTAAAATAACCCTTAACCGCCCGCTTTGCTGCATCAATTAAAATTCATCATCAGTTTTAAACAAATTAAAATAGTAAAAAGTGTTTACAAAGGGATTGAACAACTGTTTAAGGGGCACAACTAGTGTGAAATTTTCAAACAATCGAATTTTCAATTTCGATAGGTTATACCTTTAAAAATAACATACCAAAATTTTAAATCGATATCTTAAATATTTTTTGAATCACAGCCATTTAAAGAGTATATATATAGTATATAGTATAACAATCATTTTATCTTTAAACGCGTTTTTCTCGAAACAGCATTTTCCGAATTTGCTGCAGCGATTACTCAAAAACAAATGATCCGATTACTATCGATTTTTTTTTACATGTTCTATATATAGTTCTCTGTAAAATGAACTATCGATTTATCGATCGGTTTAAAAATCGAATTTTGGCAGTCCAAAAACGACCGGTAAAATTCGACTTTTTTTAAAAAAACGCCGTCATTTTGTCAATTTTTGATTTTTTTTCTTCATCGTAGTTCAGTTTACAGACAATATTATCTAGTTTAACAAAAAAAATTCTTTTTTAAATTTCATCCACGTAGAAGGCCAGAATCACTGCAGCAGTGAAGGGCCTTTTTTTGTCGCGCCGTTGGAGATCGACGATATCTTAAAAAATATTTAATTTTTTTTTTCAAGAATTTTACTATGTTTTCTCAAAACACGTATAAATATATTCCCAAAATTTTGAAATGATTGATGAAGTAGTTTTTTAAATATAAATTCCCAAAAATCACCTTGTTTTTAGGCGGTTACACTAGTTGTGCCCCTTAAGTTGCCATCTACAAAAAATCCAAGTCGTTAGTTTAGTGAATCTTCACAATAGCTCATAGGACCCTTTAGTTCTGATCGCTGTTCAATTTAAAAAGCATTAAAATATTAATATTTATACAAAAACTGCTAAAAAAATAAGATTTATAATTGAACACTAATTTTGAGAATCTAGTCATTCATGTTTTCATATTTATTACAATCAAGACCAAGTAGTCCGTTTACATATTTATTTCGCCGTGTTCAAATGAAAGAATTCGTATATGACGATTGTTTCTGTCTTGCAGTATGACGATTTTACACATTTTCTTATAATTCT